CTCTAATTAGGGCTAAAGTTAATGCTAGGTGTAAGGTTAGGTTTTCGTTTAGGTTAAGGGTTATGGTTAGGGCTATGGCTCAGTTTTGTTTTAGGGATAGGGCTAAGGTTAAGGCTAGATTTTGGAATAGCATCAGGGTTAGGGCTAGTTTTAGAGTGAAGTTTAGGCTTAGTGTTAGGTTTAGATTTAGAGTTAGGGTTGATCCAAAGTTAGGGCTCATGCTAGGGTTAGGGCTAGTGCTAGGGTTATGGTATGGAATATTGTTAGAACTAAGGATATGTTTAGGGTGAGAATTAGACTTCTTCTGAGGAGTAGGCTTAGGGTGAGGGTTAGGGTTACTGCTAATTTAGTGCTAGGATTATGACCTGGGTTAGTGTTAGGTTTAAGCCTAGGGGTTGGGCTAGGGTTAAGGTTAGCAATGGGGTTAGGGTTAAGTTTAGGCGAATGAGTGGGGTTTTAGCTAGGTTTAGGGCTAGGGTAGGGTTAGAATTAGGATTAGCCTCGAGTTATGGTTCAGTTTTGGATTAAGGCTAGGATATTTAAGGCTATAATAAGGATTACGTATTCTGATAGGATTAGGGCTAGGTCTCAGGCTAGGGATAATGTCAGGTTTAGGGTTATTGTAAAGTATAGTTTTAGGGTTAGGTTATGACAAATTTTATTGTAAGTGTTAGGTTTAGGTTAAAGGTCAACTTTAGAGCTATGCTTATTATTAGTGTCACTGTCAGGGTCAGGGTTAGCGTTTGTTTTACGTTAAGATTAAGGGGTTTGGGTTCGAATTAGTGTTAGGTTTAGGTTTGGAGTTAAGGTAATGAAAGGGTTTACTTTAGGTTTTAGTTAAGATTTAAGGTAATGGATGGGTTAGGTTTCAGCGATCGGGTTAGGGTTAACATTAGGGGTAGGATTATGTTTAGTGTAATGGATAGTTTTAGATCTAGGGTTAGGGCTAGGTTATGGTTGGGATTAAATCTAGGATTAGGGTTAAGTTTAGAGGTAGGGCTAAGGTTTTGTTTAGGGTAAGTGTTAGGGTTAGGGTAAGTGTTAGTTTAGGGTTCAGGTTATGGTTAGGTTAGGATAATGGTTAGTGTTTGAGCTAGGGTTAGGTCTAGTGTGAGGGTTAGGTTCAGGTTTAGTTCTAAGTTCAAGATTATGGTTAGAGTTAGGTTTAGTGTTTGGGATAGGGTTTTAATTAGGGTTAGGATTAGGGTTAGAGTAATGGATATGTTTAGAGATAAATTTCGGACTAGGGTTAGGTTAGGATTAAGGCTAGGGTTACAATTAGTATTTAGGATAGGGCTAGGGTTATGTTTAGTGTAAGGATTAGGCTTTGAGCTAGGGTTAGGTCTAAAGAGAGGGTTAGGGTTAGAGTTAGGGTTTGGGTTAGGGCTAGGCTTAGGTTTATGCTTAGAGCTAAGTTTAGGCCTATGATTAGCTCTAGGTTTTGTGTTAGCTTTAGGTATAGGGTTAGAACTATGGGTAATGTAAATGTTAGGGTTATATTTAGGGGTAGTTTTAGGTTTAGGGTTATAGCTAGGTCTAGGTTTTGGGTTAGTGTAAGGTTTAAAGCTAGTTTAAGTGTTAGGACCAGAGTCAGTGTTCGGAATAGGGTTAGGTTTAGGGTCAGAGCCAGAATTAGGATGAGGGGTAGGTCTAGGATTAGGGTGTTTGATTTAGGTTAAGGGTTATTGTTAGGGCTGGTGCTAGGATTTTGTTTAGGTATAGGGGTAGAGTTATAGCTATATTTAGGATTAGCTTTGGGTCTAGGTGTAGTATTAGGCTTAGGCATATATATAGGTTTACCGATAGGTCTAGTGATAGGTTTTGGTTTAGCTTTAGGGTCAGGTTTAGACCTAGGGTTACTTTTAGGGTCAGATGAGGGTCAGTGTTAGATGTAGAAGTAGATTGAGGGTTAGGGTTAAGACTAGTAATATGGTTAGAGTTGAAGTTAGGCTAAGGATTAGGGTTAGGACTAGGGTTAGCATTTGGGTTAAGGTTTGGCTTAGGGTAAGGGATAGGGTTAGAGCTAGGGTTAGGGCTAGTGTTAGGGTTAGGTTTAGGCTAGTGTTAGGGTTAAGATTGGGGTAAAAGCTAGGTTTAGGGCTTAGATGCAGGGTAGGATTTGTGTTAGTGTTAATGCTAGGGTTAGGACAATGACTAATGTACGAAATAGGGTTACAATTAAGGCTAGTTTTAGTGTTATGGGTAAGGCTAGTTCGAGTGTTAGGGTTAATTTAAGTTAGGGTGATGATTAGAGCTAGGATTTGTGTTAGGGTCAGCATCAGTGTCAGAGTAATTTTTAGAGTTAGGGTTAGGGCTAGGTGTAAGGTTTGGGTTTGGTTTAGGTTAATGGTTTGTGTTAGGGATATGGCATGGTTTTGTTTTATGGCTAGGGCTTGGGCTAGGGCAAGTTTTAGGATTAGCATTATAGTTAGGGGTAGTGTTAGGGTTTGGTGTGGCTTATGATTACAGATAAATTTAGAGTTAGGTTTAGATTTAGAGTTAGGTTAAGATCTAGAGTTAGGATAGGGCTAAGGATAGAACTAGGGCTAAGGCTAGGGCAAGAGTTCTAGTTAGTCTTAGGGCCAGGGTTAGAACTAGGATAGGATTAAATTAGAGCTGGGATTATTGCTAGGATTAGTGTTAGTATTAGGCCTAGGGTTAGAGCGGGGGTTAGGTTTGGGTTTAGGGTTATGGTTAGGTTTGTAATAAGGGATGGGGTTATAGGTCGTTTTAGGTCTAGGGTGAGGGTTAGAATTAGGGTTAGGGCTCAGGTTATGGTTCGGGTTAGGATTAAGCCTAGTTTTAGATTATGGTTAGGGCTAATTTCAGGTCTAGGGTTAAAGACAGTTTAAGGTTTGGTTTATGTCTATGCCTTCTGTAAGCATTAGGTTTAGGGTTAGGGTCAGGTTTAGAGATAAGGGTATTATTAGGGTCATGGTCATGATTAGTGTTTTGGATAGGTTAAGGTTTAAAGTTAGAACTCGAATTAGCATTAAGATAATGATCAGTAATGATAGGGTTAGTTTTAGTTTTCAGGTTGAATTTAGGGTAATAGGGTGAAGATTAGGGATAGGGTTAGGTTTAGGCCTAGGGTTAGGGTTATGATTAGGGTAATGGATAGGGTTAGAGATAGGGTTACAGCTAGGGTGATGGCTACAATTAGTGACAGGGATAGAGTTAGGTTTAGGGTTAAACCTAGGTTTTGGGCTCAGAATAGGGCTAGGATTTGAGTTAAGTTAGGGCTACGGTTAGGGTTACAGCTGATGTAAGTACTAGGGATATGATTAGGGCTAATTTTAGTTTTAGGGGTTAGGACTAGGTTTAATGTTAGATTTAGGATTAGGGTTAGGGTGATGTTTAGACCTAGGTTTAGTTTTAAGGTCAGAGTCAGGGTGAGGATTAGTTTTAGGTTTCGACAAAAGACTTGGATTATTCCTGGGTTAGGGCTAGGTGTAGGATTAGGGATTGGTTTATGTTAAGGGTTAGGGTTAGGTCTATGGCTCAGTTTGGTTTTAGTGCTAGGGCTAGGGTTAGGACTAGGATTAGCCTTAGGGCTAGGGCTAGGTTTAAGCTTAGGCTTAGGCTTATTTTTAGGGTCAGATTTAGAATTAGGGTTAGATCTTGGGTTATGGCCAGGGACAGGAATTGGGCTAGGATTAGACCTATAGTTCAGGCTAGGATTAGGTTTCCTGTAGAATATAGGGTTAGAACTAGATTTACGGCTAGTGTGAGAGTTAGAGTTAGTCTTTTTCTAGGGTTAGGGTTAGGGTTAGGGATAGGGATAAATTAGAGCTAAGATTAGGGCTATCGATAGTCTTAGGTTTAGGTCTAGAGTTAGGGTTAAGGTTATAATTAAGGCTATGTTTAGGGCTAGGATAAAGACTAAGGTTTGTGTTAGGGTTAAGTCTAGGATTATGGCTAGAGCTAAAGTCAGGTCTAGGTTTATGGTTAGGGATAGTTTTAGGGTTAAGTTTATGTCTAGTTCTAGTGTAAGGGTTAGTATAGGGTAATAGTCAGGTTTAGAACTAGTGGAATTATTAATGTCAGGGTCAGTGTTGGGCTTTGGTTTAGGTTTGAGTTTAGGGTTAGGGCTCGAATTAGCATTAGGGTTAGCATTAGGGTAATGATAAGGTTAGATTTAGGGTTCAGGTTAGGTTTAGAGTAATTGACAATTTGGGGGATAGTGATAAGATTAGGATTAGGCCTAGGGTTAGCATTAGGGTAAGGGTAATGTTTAGGGTAATGAATACAGTTAGAGTGAAAGTTAGGGCTAAGGGTTATGGTTAGGAATAGGATTTGAGTTAGGATTAGGGTGAGGGTTAGAACTATGGTTAGGTTTAGAATATATGGAAAACAGGTATAGTTGCTGTTCCGCATTGATAGCAACACCCCGGAAAAGCTTGTAAGAAAAATCTTGAGTTATCAGAGCTGGGGGTAGGAGAGTTGGAAACAGCTTACCTGATAAGCTGCAGAACAGAGCTGGTAGCCCCGCCCACTGATAGATAATGAGTAAGGATTCGCAAGATGGATTACAACTATTACCCATATATGATGTCTGGTGAAGTGGGTGGTTCTGGATTGACCATGTGCTGTGTCCAGAGCTCATTCTGGTGATTCTAAAGCAAAGTCTCTGTGCACTGTGCTGCCTTCTGTCTCTGCAGTGAGTGCCCAAGCAGCTGAGACTGCTATCTGTGCCCAGAGAATCTGCACAGCCGAGCCTTCCATCTGAGTTGAGAGCACCCATGGAGGCCCTAGTTTTCTTCAAATTTCTATGATACTGGGAAGGATTCACCTTTTACTTAGCCTTACTATGCTCCACAGGTTTGGGCCTTCTCGGTTCAATGGTTCACTGTCAGGAACAGTTTGTATTTTAAGGTTTCCCTTCATTATGGCTTATTGATGTGAATGAAAATTGAGCTGGAAATCCAACATGGTTGGCAGGAGGTGTTTGAAACTTCACACAGTCAGTTCTCAGTGTTCACTCTCAGTTTCTTTCTTTTGAAGGTAGGCCAAAATGAAGCATGCAAAAGAAACTGTATCCAAGAGCCCTTAAGGAGAAAACAGTGAAACATGTATGTACTGAAATAAGTCTCCCAAAAATTTGATCAGATATCTTTGATACTACATGGTATTCATCTTTTAGCTTGTTGCACTAGGCTCCCCAAGGTTGGCACTTCTAGGATCAATGGTTCTCTAAACAGATAATGGTTAGTGTTACAGTTACCGTTAGGGCTAGCTTTAGAGCTAGTGTTAGGGTTAGAGTTTGTTTTGTTCAAATTTCTTTGATACTGGGAAGATTTATCTTTACCTATCCTACTATGTCCCCCAGTTTTGGGCCTTCTTGGTTTAATGGTTCACTGTTTGGAATAGTTTGTTTTTAATGTCTCACTTCATTTTGACCTATATGGGTAAATGCAAATGAAGCTGGAAATCAGAGGTTTGGTGCTAGCTGGTTGAAACTTTACATTCTCAATCAGTTGTCTGTGGGCACTCTCTGGTTTCTTCCTTGTAAAATAGCCATAAGCTGAAGCATGTATAAAAACTTTATCCAAGAGTACTTTAGGAGAAAACAGGGCAATATGCATGTACTGAAATACCTCCCCCAATTATTTGGTTAGATTTCTTTGATACTGTGCAGGACTCATCTGTAAGCTTCCCTACTAGTCTCCCCAAGTTTTAAAATTTTTTGATCAAAGCTTCTCTTTACAGGTTAGGCTTAGGGTTATGGTTAGAGTTAGGGCAAGTGTTAGCACTAGTTTTAGGGTTAGAGTAAGTTTTTTTTCAATTTATTGGATACTGGATAGCATTTACATTTTTCCTATTCTTAGTATGCTCCGCATGTGTGGGACTCCTAGGTAAAAGGGTTTGATCTCAGAAGCAGTTTTAATTTTCATGTTTCACTTCATTTTGCCCTATAGGGGTGAATGGAAATGGAGCTGGATTCAAACAGGGTTTGTGCTAGCTGCTTGAAACTTCACACACTCAATCAGATCTCAGTGCACATTCTCTCATTTGTTTCCTGTGATAGTAGCCCAAAGCTGAATTAGAAAGAATCAGCTTTATCTGTGAGCACTTTAGGAGCAAGCTTCAATTTTTTTGCATCTATTACACTGATATTGAACAGTATTCATCCATTTTCTAGTCTTAGTAGGATCCTCATGTCTGGGTTTTCAAGGCTTGCCAGTTCACTGTCAGGAAGAGTTTAAATTTTTAGGTTTCACTTTATTGTGTCCGACAGACATGAAAGAAAATGGAGCTGGAAACCAAACAGAGTTAGTACTAGTTGCTTGAAACTACACACACTGAATCTGCTCTCTGTGGGCAGTCTCTGGTTGTTTCTTGTGAAAGTGCCTTAAACTGAAGCATGAAAAATAATTTATCCAATAGCACATTAGGAGAAAACAGGGAAATATACACTTAATGATATACCTGCCCCAATTATTTGGTCAGATTTCTTTGATACTGCACAGGATTCATCTGTTAGCTTGCCCCACTGGGCTCCATTATTCGGGGACTACTCTGATCAATGGTTTCCTAAACAGGTTAGGTTAGACTTAGTATTAGATTAGGGCTAGGGTTATAGATAGTGTTTGTTAGATTTTGTTTTGTTCAAATTTCTTTGATACTGGGCAGGATTCACCTTTTACCTAGGATTACTATGTTATCTAGGTTTGGGCCTCTTGGGTCAAGGGTTTGCTCTCCGGAACAGTTTGTATTTTAAGTTTTCATTTCATTTTGACCTATGCATGTAAATGGAAATGGAGCTGTAAATCCAACATTGTTGGTGCTAGCTAATTCAAACCTCACACACTCAATCAGTTTTCTATGGGCATTCTCTGGTCTATTTCTTGTAAAAGTGGCCCTAAGCTGAAGCATGCTAAGCCACTTTATGTGAGAGCACTGTAGGATAAAGCAGGACAATATGCATGTACTGAAATACCTCCCCAATTATTTGGTCAGATTTCTTTGATAGTGTGAAAGATTCATCTGTTAGCCTACCCAAATTGGATCCCCAATGTGGGACATCTAGGATCAAAGGGACTCTAAACAGGTTAAGGTTAATTTTGTTTTCAAACTTCTATGATACTGTGCAGGTTTCATCTTTTTTCCTATTTTGAATGTACTCCTAATATTTGGGCCTCCTACATACAGGGTTTGCCTTCAGGAACAGTTTCAAATTCATTTTTCTCTTCTTTTTGCCCTATAGGGGTGAATGGAAATGAAGCTCTTAATTGAACAGGGTTTGGGCTAGCTGCTTGAAACTTCACATACTCCATCAATTTTCAGTGATCTTAATCTGGTGTTTACCATGGAAGTGGCCCTAAGATGAAGTAGAAATTAACAGTTTTATCTCTGAGTGCTTTAGGAACAAGCACAATACCCATGTACTGAAATAGCTTCACATTTTTGTTGGTTGGATTAATTTGATACTGTACAGGATTCATCCTTGACCTAGCCTTAGTAGGCTCCACCAGTTTGGGCCTCCAAGTTTCAATGGTTCAGTGTCAGAAACAGTTTGAATTTTTAGGATTCACTTCATTATGGCCTATAGTTGTGAATGCAATGGAGCTAGAAATAAAACATTGTTGGTGCTAGCTGCATGAAACTTTGAACACCCAGTTAGTTCTCTGTTGGCACTGTTTGGTTTTTCTTTGTGAAAGTACCTTAAGCTGAAGCAAGAAAAACAATTTATCCATGAGCACTTTAAGAAAAAAACAGGAAAATATGAATGTACTTCATATGAACACCTACCCCTAACCCTAACCCTAAAAGTAGCCCTAATCACAACTCTAGTTCTTATGTTAGTTGTACCCTTAATCCTAGCCCTAACCTAGGGTTAGTGTTAGGGCTAGGCCTAACATGGGGCTAGGCCTAACCCAAAACCTAGCACTAATCTGAGCCCTACACGTGTTTTAATCCTAACACTAACCAGAGCCCTAACCATTAACCTAAACCAAACCCTAACTTTGAAACTTGCCCTAACCCTAAACCTAACCCTATCCTTAATCCTAACCATAATCCTAGACCTAACCCTAGCTCTAACTCTATCCATTACCCTAACCATAACCCTAACCTTGGTGCTAATTTTAGGATAACCCTAATTCTATCTCTAACCCTAACTTTGTCCATTATCCTAAACCTAACCTGAAACATAAACCTAAACATAAACATTACCCTTACATTAATACTAAACCTAATGCTAAAGAAAGCCCTGATCCTAAACTTAACCTAACTCAAACATTAATCATGATAGTAACCCTAATAATAACCCTATCTCTAAACCTGACCCTAACCCTCAACCTTAACCTTACACTAGAACTAGCCATAAACCTAACCCTAAAACTAACCATAAACATAAAGCTAGACCTGACATTAGCCCTAGCACTAATTCTAACACTAATCCTAACACAAAACCGAACCCTAATCCTAGCCCTAAACCTACCCCTAATCCTCTCCCAAAACCTAGCCTTCCTACCAACCCTAAACATAACCCTCGCCATAACCCTATTTTGTACCTTGCCCTAAACCTAGCTCTAATATAATACCTTACATTAATCCTAACCCTAACCCTAGACCTAAACGTAGGCCTAGCCCTAACACTAACCCTAGCGCTGATCTTAGCACAAATTTAGTCCTAAACCTAACCCTAACTGTAACCCTAACCCTAACTCTCACCCTAGCACTAACCCTAGTTCTAAATCTATCCCTTACCATAACACAAACCTTAGACCTAAACCTAGCCCCAAACCCATTCCTACTTTTGGCCTAGCCCTATACCTAGAACTAACCCTAACCTCAATCAAATGCTAATCCTAAGTCTAAACCTCACCCTAACACTAGCCCTAACCCTAATGCTAATTGGAAAACTAGACTAACCCTAGTCCTAGCACTCAAACAAAACCGAGTCATAGGCTTAACGCTAATTCTTAACCTAAACTAAAACTTAAGCTTATACCTAGCCCTAACCCTGGCCCTAATTTGAGTCCTAACCCTAACTTTAGAATTTACTCTTACCGTGACTCAGACCCTAACAATAAACCCAGGCTCATCACAATAACAGTAAACTTAACCAGAACACTAAACCTAGCCCTACACCTAACCCTAAAACTAGCCCTAATCGTACCACCAGTTCTTCCATTAGCCATAGCCCTGTGCTAAAAGAAAAGCTAGCTCTAATCTGAGACCAAATCCTAGCTTTAAACCTAACCCTAAAAAAAACCTAGAATTATACCTAACCCTAGCTCTAACCCTATCCCTTACCCTAAGACAAACCTTCACCCTAATGCTACCCTAGTCCTATCATTAATCTTTAGCCTACCCCAAACCATAACACTATTACTAGTTCTAACCCTAGCCCACATTCTAGCTCTAACCCTAACCCAAATCCTAACCCTAACCCTGACCCTTAATCTGACCCTAACTCTAAGCCTAGGATTAAACCTGACCCTAACCCTAATCTGAACCCTAACACTAGCTCTATGGGAAACCCTATACCTAAACCTAACCCTAACACTCGACCTAGACAAAAACCTAATCCTAAATCTAGCCATAACTCTAGCTCTAGACCTAAACAAAAACCTAGCCTTAGCCCTCACAATAACCCTTAACATAACCAAACACTACCTCTACATCTAGACATAAACTTAGTCCTAATTCTGGCCATAACCCTAACCCAAACACTGTCCCTTTCTGTAACAATAATCCTAGATCTAAACTTTATGTTAACCACAAATCTAGCCATAACACTAAAAATAGACCTAGCTATAACCCTAACTCTAGGTCTTACATTAATATAACCCTAATATTTGCCCCAAACCTCACACAAAACCTATCTCTAAGCATAATCGTAACCCTAACCCTAGACCTGACCTAACCCTAGCCCTTGCCTTAACCCTAACCTTAGCTCAAACACTAACCCTTGCCCAAATATAAATCTAGACCTAACCCTAAACCTAACCCTAACCCTAGTCCTAATCCTTACTATAACCAAGGCGAAACCCTAGTTCTAACTCTATCCATTATCCTAAACACAACCCTAACCCTAATGCTAAACCTAGGTCTAACTTAACCCTAAACACAATCCTAACCCTTTTGATAAACCTAGCTCTAACTTAATCCTGGATGTCACACTAACCCTAACCATTGCCCTAGCCCTATCCATAGCTCAAACCCTAACACTTACCCTAAATCTAACCCTAACACTAACCCTAGGCTTAACCCTAACCATAACCCTAGCCCTAATCCTAACCATAACCCAAACCCTAAACCTATCCTTTAACCTAAACAAAAGCCTAATCCAAATGCTAACCCTAGGCCTAACTCTAAACCTATCTCTAACACTAACCCTATCCATTTCCTAAAACTAACCTGAACACTAAACCTAACCTTATTAATTACTCTAACCCAATCCCTAAACCTAATGCTGAATCAAGCCCTAAACTTAAACCATAACCTAAACCAAACCCAAACAAGAAACTTACCCTAACCCAAGCCCTCATCCTAGCCCTAAACCTAGTCTTAATCCTAATATGAATGCTAACCATAGCCCAATTTCTAATTTCATCCCTTGCCCTAGTTCTGAAACTAGGTATAACCACATCCCTGCCTCTAACTCTAACCCTAACCCTAATCCAACACTAACACGAATGCTAATCCTAAACTTAACACTAATCCCAGCTCTAATCCTAGCCCTAATTTAGTGCTAATCGTAACCCTAACTCTAACCCTACCCCTAAGACTAACTCTAACTCTTGCCCTAGACCTAGTTCTAGTACTAACTCTATCTGTAACCAAAACCCTCACACTAGCCCTAACCTAACCTCTAAATCTAGCCCAAGTCTTAACCCTAGATCTAACCATAACTCTCTATATAACCCTAAACCTAAGACTGAACCTCACCCTACCACTAGCCCTAACACTATCACTAATCCTAAAACTAGTTCTAAACCTAGCTGTAGCTCTAAAACAAAACTGAGCCCTAGCCCTAACCCTAACACTAACCTAACTGTAACCTCAGACCTGACATTATATCTAGCCCTAATTCTTTCCCTAACCCTAACAAAAAACCTAACCCTACACCTACCCATAACTCTAGCATTATTTCTAGCGTTATTACTAACCCTAAAACTAACACTGACCTTGACTCTGACTGTAACACTAACCCTATTTCAAATCATCACTCTAATCATAACCTAAACCTAACACTAGATCTAGCCCTAAACCTAACCCTAAAACCAGCCCAAATCGTAACCCTAGTTCTTATATTATCCATAGCCCTACCCTAACCCTAACCTAATCTAAAATGTAGCCCTAACCCTAACTCTAACACCAGCTTTAAACCTAACCTAACTTTAAACCTAATCCTAACCCTAGCCTTAATCCTAACTATAACCCTAGCCCTAAATCTAGCTCTAATCATATCTATTACCTTAAACTTAAACCTAACTCTAATACTAATCCTAGGATAACCCTAACTTTAACCATAACCCTAACCCTATTCATTACCATAAACTTAACCTGAACCCTAAACCTAACAATATCCATTATTCTAACCCTAAATATAATCCTAACCTAATTTGAGCCCTAACCCTAAACCTTCACCTAAAAAAACCCTAACAGTTACTCTACCCTAAAAATACCCCTATCTCCAAAAATGTCCCTAACACTCAACCTAAAACTGACACTATACATAGCCATAAACCTAAACCTGAAATTATCACTAACCATAACTCTAGACCTAACATTAGCCTTAGCCTTAAACCTGGCCCTAAACCTAGCCTTAATCCGAACCAATACCCTATCACTAGGCCTAACCCTAAACTGAACCCTCACCATAGCCCTTAACCTAGCTTTAATATCATACTGTACCCTAACCCTAATTCTAAACCTAGCCCTAAACCAATGCCTAGCCCTAAACCAAGGCCTAGCCCTAATACTAAACCTAGTTCTAATACTAGACCTAATGTCACCCTAACCCTAAGACTAACTCTAACTCTTGATCTAGCCCTAGCCCTAGTTCTAACATTATCCCTTCCCATGACCAAAAGCCAATACCAAACCCTAGCCCCAAACTTAGCCCTAGCCCTAAACCTAGATGTAACCCTCACTCTAAATCTAACCCTAACCTAAAACCTAAACCTGACCCTAACACTAGCCCTAATCCTAATGCTAATTTGAAAACTATCCTCACCGTAGCCATAACATTCAAGCAAAACTGAGCTACAGCTCTTATCCTAACCTTAACCTAAACCAAACCCTAACACTATGCCTAGCCCTTACCCTAGCCCTAATTTGAGTCCTAAACCTAATCGTACAACTAATATTTGCTGCGCCCCTCCCCTGACTCAGGCAATGGCAATGCCCTACTGAGGTGGATGGCGCAAGGCATCCATCCTCTGGAGGAGCACAGTATGTTTCTGGGAATGGGCTGATTTGTTTTTGTATTCCTTTAATAAGTATAGTTGTAACTTCTCATATGACGATTCAGTATGAAGGAAAGAACATGACTTTCCCAATTAATGCAACTACTTCTAAAAAATAGATCTATTTGCTCTGAATGCAATGATTCAGTTGTGGAGTGTAAATTGTTAATGTCTAATGAAAAACTCCCTGTATTCCTGTCAAGGAAGTTTTTGAGAAATTAAATTAAAATCTAGAGAAGAAAAATTAATGTTAAGAAGACAGATTGGTGCTTAGTACTGGGCAAATTTTCTTGTTCCTTTGCACAATTGTTTGTGCTCTTACTCTTGTTTGATTAAAATTAATAACAAGTCAACCACTTGCCATAACCATGGCACCGGTTCCAGTCAGTAAGTCAAGAAAGAATAGTCAAGGTATAGGCCAATAGTTTGGGACATTTCTAACTATTATTAAAGGTTAACTAAGCAGAAACAGCTCAAAGCAAAACACGAACTGAAAGTACAAATGCTTGCTTATGTATAAGCCAAGATACATTTTTCTATTCTAATTGTAGCTACGTAATATTTTGTTTCTTTGAATAATGATTCCTGTTTTGTAACCACAAAGTACTGTGAGCCTGCCAAAATGAAAAGTATATATGATCAGCTTCACAAGTAAAGATTGGGATCAACACCTTCACTTTCGTGTCTGTGTTGTTTCTCCACCCCTCTTTCGCTGACTCCTCACCATCCGTTCGTCTCCTGAGACGCCCTGTTGGAACTGGTCTCTGACATCTGGTGCCCCCCGAACAGGGACGATCAGTAATCCATAAGTCTGATGCATTCATTTCATTCAGAAGTTTTCTGGTGAGTATAGGATTCTTACCTAGGGTACTGCAGACCCCTTAGCAAGGTGCTAAGTAAGTGAAGGGTAAGTAATCAGAGAACTTATTTTGAGAAGTCATGGGCCATAAAGAGTCTAAAGAAAGAGGACTCTTTATTAATATAGCTAAGCATATACTCCATAAACGGGCATTTCAGTTTCTTCTAAGCAGTTAAGACATTTTTTTCATTTTATTCAAGAATGCTCTCCTTGGTTCCCTGAGGAAGGAACCTTAAATTTAGAAACATGGAATAAACTAGGTAAAGAGATGAAGGTTTATTATGATCATCATGGGCCAGAAAAGATTCTTGTAGATGCTTTTGCATTATGGAATGTTTTTAAAGATGCTTTGGATCCGACCCATGAGACAGTTTGTTTGGCTCGTCAAGTGACTGAATCTGAACAAACCCCCTTAATTGGGGCTGCTGCTACATCTAAATTTTATAAAATTACATCCCCTCCAAAACAGTCTCAATCTTATGATGAACAAGGGGATGAAGAGGAGGATGAAGAACTTTCTCCTCAAGATCAGGAGGACTTAGAGGAGGCTGCATCTCGATATGATAACTCTGATTGGCCACCAAATTTGTTAGTCTCTATGTCTCCTGTGCCTCCCACACAGCCCTCTGCTCCTCCTGATTATTCTCAACAATGTAAGACACCTAAAAAACAACCTAAAAATCTTCCCTTTCTGGGAGCCATAACTGAAGCAAAAAATCAGGGTGATTATTCTTTATGCTTTCCTGTTATCCCTCAAGGGGAATTTGATGACTCACCTCAATGGAAACCTCTTCCCTTTAAATTAATAAAATAATTAAAAACCTCTGTTACTAATTTTGTTCCAACTTCCCCTTATACTTTACAATTGGTAGACTCAGTTGCTGCTGAATGGCTTACGCCTTTTGACTGGCAGCAGACAGCCAAATCCTGTCTGCCTCCTGGACAATATTTACTCTGGAAATCTGAATTTGAAGATCAAGCAAAACAATTAATAGGAAGAGGTATTATTAAAAGAGGACAAAAATATACTCTAGGTATGTTACTGGGTACTGGAGATTATGCTTCTCCTCAGAGCCAACTTTCCCTTAACAAAGAAACCTTAACTGAAATCTCAAAGTGTGCTGTTACTGCATGGCGAAGCTTACACAGTTCTGAAACAAAACAAAGTTTTCTTTCTAACATTAAATAACAGGCTACAGAGTTATATGAAGATTTTGTGGCTTGCCTACAGGAAACTGTTTCTAAGGTTATTGCTAATACTGAAGCCGCTAATATACTTATAAAGCAGTTGCCCTTTGAAAATGCTAATCCCACTTGTCAAGCTTTACTTTGACCCATTAGAAAAACTGGGTCTTTATCTGATTTTATTCGTATGTGCATGGATTCTACTCCAGCCCATATTCAGGGGATTGCTATTGCTGCTGCATTACAAGGCAAGACTTACTCACAGTTTTTAAAGGGTTATGGTACTAAAAATAACAATAAAATTTTTCCTTCAAAAAATAATACCCTTAATATTAAAGGTCAATGTTTTTCTTGTGGACAAACAGGACATTTTAGTCGTGATTGCCCAAATAAGCTATCTAATAAAAATCCTTTTATACAAAATAATCCTCCAAAAATTCCCTGCCCCGGGTGTCATAAAGGCTTTCACTGGGCCAGAGATTGTAGATCAAAATTTGACAAGGATGGAAACCCTATAGTCCCTACTTCTCAGAATCCAATGGAATAAAAAAATGGGCAATGGGGCTCCCCCCGGGCCCCACAAAACAACAGGGGCTTTCCCGGACAAATACCTTCTTTCGTGGGCTCTCAATTAGCAACTTGGCCCGAGCAACTCCAGGAAGTGCAGGATGAGACTTGCCCTCTTCAGTTCATGCTATACTTACTCCAGATTCTGAAGTTACTTTGATTCCAACTGGGGTCTATGGACCTCTTCCCCAAGGCTATTTTGGTGTAATATTAGGGAGAAGTTCTCTATCTTCCAAAGGCATTTTTATCTTGCCAGGTATTATTGATTCAGATTTCCAGGGATAAATTAAAGTTATGATTCAAACTCCAGTTAAAACTGTTCAAATTAGACTTCAACAAAGAATTGCACAAATTTTAATTATTCCTTATTTAAACAATCCTAATAGTGTACTTAAAAGTAATAGAGGAGATCAAGGTTTTGGTTCTAGTAATGTTGTTGCATTGATACAAAAGATTAAACAATCTAGACCTATGAAATATATTTCTGTGGAAGGTTTACAAATAAAGGGTATTTTGGATATGGGAGCTGATGTTTCTTGTATAGCTGGAAAAGACTGGCCTTCTTCTTGGCCCACTAGTAAGTCTCCTTCTACTCTTATAGGATTGGGACTTGCCTCCAATGTTGCCAAAAGTACACAAATATTACATTGGCAATGTGAAGAAAAACCTGGGACTTTTCAGCCTTATGTCATCCCCTCTTTGCCTTTTACTTTATGGGGATGAGACATTTTACAACAATTTAATGTTGTTCTGACAAATGATATACCTCAGATTTTAAAACTGCCTTTTACTTAGGGGCCACTGTCCTTAAAGAGGCTGATCCTATTGTTTGGAATTCCAACAACCCTGTTTGGGTGGATCAGTGGCCCTTAACTCAGGAAAAACTGGATGCTGCCTCTCATCTAGTTAAAGAGCAATTAGAGTTGGGACATATAGAACCATCTACTAGTCCTTGGAATACTCCTATTTTTGTTATTAAAAATCTGGCAAATGGAGACTCCTACAGGATTTAAGAGCTATTAACAAAACTATGGAAACCATGGGAGCTCTACAATCGGGCCTCCCTTCTCCTGTGGCTATACCAAAAGGAAAATATCTTGTAGTTATAGATCTACAGGACTGTTTTTTTAACATTCCTCTTGAAAAACAGGATTGTAAAAGTTTTGCTTTTAGTTTACCATCTTCTAATTTACAAAGACCTTTCCAAAGATTTCAATGGAAAGTTTTGCCTCAGGGAATGAAAAATAGCCCCACCTTATGTCAAAAGTTTGTTGATGCAGCCTTAGTCTCCACAAGAAATAAGTTTCCATCTGGATATATAGTTCATTATATGGATGACATTTTATTAGCTCATGCTGATTATTTGATACTCCAACAAGTACTTAATTTTATGATTACAAGTTTACAAGACTGGGGATTAAAAATTGCTCCTGATAAAATTCAAACTCAGGCTCCTTTTTCTTACCTAGGAAGATTAATTAATTCCAAAAATAAAACTTCTCAAAAAATACAGATTAGGGTTGATTTTTTTATGTACTTTAAATGATTTTCAAAAACTTCTTGGGGATATTAATTGGATTAGGCCTTACTTAAAATTAACCACTGCTGACCTTAAACCTTTATTTGAAATTTTACAGGGAGATTCAAATCCAAATTCACCTAGACAATTATCTCCTGAGGGAAAAAAAGCTTTATCTAAGGTGGAGAAGGCTATTTCAGATCATTATTTACAACAAATAGACTATAATAAGCCCTGGATGTTAATAATCTTACAGATTTCACACACTCCTACTGGATGCCTATGGCAGGATGATCCTTTAGAATGGATTTATTTGCCTTCTACTCCAAAAAAGATTAATATTTCATATCCAACCCAGGTGTCATCATTAATTTGTAAAGGTAGACTTCGAAGTAGAGAGCTCTTTGGACGAGATCCATCCTCCATTATTATTCCATATAAAAAGGAACAATTAGATTTCTTATTAAATGTTAATGATGAATTCCCTATAGCATTACAGGGGTTCTATGGAGAAATATTGTTTCATTTGCCTAACCACCCATTACTACATTTTATGACTAAAGTAAATACTATTTTAACTAAAAAATTTCTCATGTGCCCCTGGATCAAGCTTCTCTAATTTTTACAGATGGATCCTCTACTGGAATAGCTGTTACTATTATAGAAGACCAAGAGCCAACAGTCCAACAAACAACTGGAACCTCGGCTCAAAGGACAGAATTGATTGCTATTATAACTGCTTTTGAAAAGATTACACAGCCTTTTAATCTTTATACTGATTCCCAATATATAGTTAATCTCTTTCCAGCCATAGAAACATATTCTTGGTCCTCTCATTCATCAATTGTTAATATATTACAAAAGTTACAAAAATTAATATTACAGAGATCTTATAAATTTTTTATTGGACATATTAGAGGACATTCTAACTTACCCGGACCTTTAGTGGCAGGAAATGCTAAAGCTGATTTATTAACTAGGACTGTTTATAATGTTATTGAACAAGCTAGTAAAAATCGTCAATTACATCATCAAAATTCTGCTGCTCTTAGAGCACAGTTTCATATAACTAAAGAACAAACTAGACAAATTGTTAAACAATGTCAAATCTGTCCTACTCACTTTCCTTCTCCACAGATGGGTGTCAACCCTAGGGGTTTATTACCCAACAAATTGTGGCAGATGGATGTTACTCATATTCAAGAGTTTGGAAAGTTATCTTTTGTTCATTTTTGTGTGGATACTTTCTCACATGTTATTTTTGCTACAGCCCATATTGGAGAAGCTTATAAGGATATTGCCCAACACCTTTTTGCCTCCTTTGCATATATGGGATTACCTCTTCATATTAAGACAGACAATGCTCCTGCTTATATTTCAAAAACCTTTAAACATTTGTGTCAAGCACTTAACATAGTTCATTCCACAGGCATCTCCTATAACCCATCTCCTATAACAAGCCATAGTGGAAAGAGCTCATCAGACCTTAAAATCTCAAATTAATAAATTAAAAGAGGGGGAACTACATTATAGCTCTCCTCATCAAATTCTTCAACATGCTCTATTTGTCATTAATCATTTAAATGTAAATGATTCTAAATTAACTCCAATGCAACGTCATTGGTCTGAGCAAACAGTAACTCAAAAAAATTTAGTTAAATGGAAAGATCTTCTTACTGGACAGTGGAAAGGACCTGCTATTCTCTTAACATCGGGTCGAGGATATGCTTGTGTGTTTCCACAGGATGCTACTTCACCTTTGTGGATTCCAGATCGACTCATCAGACATTATGACTCACCCATATCACAGGCGGAGGTTCCTCCCCAAGCCATACCCAAGGATGCCATCGACCCAGGATGAAGAACTTGCCGAGGACATGACTAATCTTCACCTTCATTCCCCTCGACAGGCACAAGTAACATTGGCATCAAAATTACCTTCTTGGGGTCAAATAAAACATCTGACCAGTCAGGCACAAAACTTGGTTGTTAGCCAAGGTGCCTCTGCCTCTCCTGAAAAAGTGTTTCTTGCTATGCTCAGTCAGGTATCACTGATTTCTGATAATCAATCTTATTGGGCTTATTTTCCTGATCCTCCTCTTTTAAGAGTTACTGATTGGGGAAAACTTAATATTAAGGTGTTTACTGATAATCCTGAATTGTTAGGAGGGATTTCTGATTCCCTTATTCCTCATAAGATGTCATATAAGATTAATTTCAAGGGTTTAATAGAAGAGACTCCTATTTGCTTTGCTACTGATAATAAATTCATCCCTCAAGGATGTATGCCTATTAATTATAGACAATATTTTACTGATTGCCCTCCTGGCTTCCCAGACATGGATAATAAAAAGAGGAGCCTTTGGCTCCTTGAAATGGTTTCTTTAGGATACTATATAGTTAATGAAACCTATGTTAATAAGACATTACCTGAAGCCATTGATCCATGTGGATTAAAGAATAACAAAAATGATTTTTATTGGAATAATATGATTGATCCTAGGGAAGAATTTCCTTATTGGTTTCAATGTGGATTTATGCAAAGGGCACAAGTCTTTCAGCCTAAGTTTTCAGATGTTAAGATCTATGATTGGTCTGCTTCTGCCCCTCATTTTGATTATAAAAATTAATTTAAGACTAAGTCTCAAAAATTTAATCATACTGAAGGAATGTATACAAGTTCTCCTATTCATAGATGGTACTCACCTGGTTGGGTCACTCCCATATTTCAGAGTGAGCTCCCTAATGGAAAGGTTTCATACTTCCCAGATCTCTTTAGATTAATTGCAGCTACTAATATGGTTCTTTTAATCAGACCTGGTAAAACTCCAGGACCTTTCAATATTCATGCTTGCATTAATGCTACTCATGCTATTTTAGTAGGTAATAATAATACCTTGACAATTAATCATAATAATAGTGTTTATTCTATTTCCTGTGATCAGTGTATGTTAACTAATTGTATACATGCTAATCTTCCAAAAAACGACACTACTTTTATAATTATACATCAGCCTTCCTATGTAATGATTCCTGTCCTTCTTAATGATGATTGGTATGATGATGAAGGGTGGCAAATTCTTAAAAAAATAATGAATTAATTAGACCTAAGCGATTTGTTGCAGCATTAATTTTAGGAATTACAGCATTAATAGGAGTTATTACTTCTTTAGCTTTATCTACTACAGCTTTAGTTAAAGAAATTCATACTGCTCATCATGTTAATGATTTATATCATAATGTTTCATTAGCATTAGGTATTCAAGAAAAAATAGATAAGAAATTGGAGGCCCAGATTAATGCCTTAGAGGAAGCTTTATTATATGTAGGAAACCAGATTCAAAATATAAAAACTCAAATGACAACCAAATGTCATGCTAATTTCAAATGGATCTGTGTTACTCCCTTAAAATATGATCAAACTAAATATGGATAGAATCAAGTACAAACTCATTGATTAGGGATCTGGAATAAAACTGAAATAGGCCCCAATATACAAGATTTACAACAACAAGTAAAATATATAAGTAAGCCTTATTTATCTACTGACTCTACAGCTGACTTTGCTGTACATTTATACAAAAATGTACAAAAAACTATTTCCAATAGTACTTGGTGGTCATATATGATTAATATTGGTTTTGGCTTTTTATTCATTGTTCTTGTTTGTCTCATTCTTCCAGTCCTCTTCAGACTTGTCTGGAAATCTATCAGAAGCATCTCCGTCCAAATCGAACAAATCAAATTAAAAAATAAAAAAGGGGGAAATGCTGCACCCCTCCCCTGACTCAGGCAATGGCAAGGCCCTACTGAGGTGGATGGCACAAGGTGTCCATCCTCTGGAGGAGTGCAGTATGTTTCTTGGAATGGGCTGATTTGTTTTTGCATTCCTTTAATAAGTATAGTTGTAACTTCTCATATGACCACTAAGTATGAAGGAAAAAACATGACTTTCCCAATTAATGCAATTACTTCTAAAGAATAGATCTGTTTGCTCTAAATGCAATGATTCAGTTGTGGAGTGTAAATTGTTAATGTCTAATGAAAAACTCCCTGTATTCCTGTCAAGGAAGTTTTTGAGAAATTAAATTAAAATCTAGAGAAGAAAAATTAATGTTAAGAAGACAGATTGGTGCTTAGTACTGGGCAACTCGTTCTTGTTCCTCTGCACAATTGTTTGTGCTCTTACTCTTGTTTGATTAAAATTAATAACAAGTCAACCACTTGCCATAACCATGGCACTGGTTTCAGTCAGTAAGTCAAGAAAGAATAGTCAAGGTATAGGCCAATAGTTTGGGACATCTCTAACTATTATTAAAGGTTAACTAAGCAGAAACAGCTCAAAGCAAAAAGTGAACTGAAAGTACAAATGCTTGCTTATGCATAAGCCAAGATACATTATTCTATTCTAATTGTAGCTACGTAATATTCTGTTTCTTTGAATAATAATTCCTGTTTTGTAACCACAAAATACTGTGAGCCTGCCAAAATGAAAACTATATATGATCAGCTTCATAAGTAAAGATTGGGATCAACACCTTCACTTTGGTGTCTGTGTTGTTTCTCCACCCCTCTTTCGCAGACTCCTCACCATCTGTTCGTCTCCTGAGACCCCCTGTTGGAGCTGGTCCCCGACAAATATTGACCCTGATACTGATTCTAAAACTAACCTTAGCTCTAAACATCACCCTAACACTAAACCCAACCCTAACATTAAACTTAGACCTAATCCTAAAACTAGCCCTAATTGTAATGCCAGGTCTTACATTAGCAATAGGCCTAACCCTATCACAAAACCTAGATTTAATCTGAACATTTAATCCTAACACTAACACTAAACCTAACCCTAACCCTAGCTCTAAACCTATCACTTTACCCTATGCCAACCTTCACCCTAATGCTACCCTAGACCTAACCCTAATACTTAGCCTACCCCAAACCCTAACAATATTACTAGTACTAACTCTAGGCCTCATTTTAACTCTAACCCTAACCCAAACCCTAAGACTATCTCTGACCCTTATTCTGACCCTAACCTTAACCCTAGGTCTAAGCCGGAACCTAACCCTAAACTAAACACTAACACTAGCCCTATGGGTAAACCTATACCTAAACCTAACTGTAACATTAACACTAGACCTAACTTAATCCTAAGTATACACATTGCTCTAGCCATAGCCCTAAACAAAAACCTACCTCCAGCACTAACAATAACCATTACTCTAACACAATGACCAAAATTACTCCTAGAAATAACACCAGAAAAATTGTGCTCCTAACCATAAATCCAATGCTAACCTGAACACTGACCCTTACCCTAACAAAAACCCTAGCTCTAAACCTTATCCTTACCCAAAACATACCCCAACACTAGACCTATACATAACCCTAACCTTAAAACTAGGCATAACCATAATCCTAGTTCTTACATTACTCATAATCCTAATACTAGACATAAACCTCCTCACAAAACCTAGCCTAAATATAGCACTAAAACTAGCTGTAAGCCTAATCCTAACATTAGCCCTAGCCCTAACCCTCACACTTGCCTAGCCCTAACTTAGCTCAAATTATAACTCTTACCCTAAATGTAACCCTAACGCTAACCCTAACCCTAACACTTGCCCTAATCCTAACTCTAACCATAGCACAAATACTTCCTCAAATTCTATCCATTACCTTAAATATAACCCTAACACTAATGCTAACCCTAGCCCTAACTGTAACCCTAATTCTAACCATAGCCCTGACTGTAACTCTAAACCATGCCCTAGCCATATCCATAAACACTTAACCTAACCTAACTCTAAAACTAACCCTAGGCCTAACCCTAACCCTAGTCCTAATCCTAACTTTAACCTTAACTCTATCCATTACCCTATATGTAAGCCTATTCCAAATGCTAACCCTAGGCCTAAACCTAGCACTATCCCTAAAACTAACCCTATGCATTACTCTATACCTAACCTGAACCCTAAACCTAATCCTATTCATTACTCTAACACTAACCCTACTGCTAATTTGACCCCTAACCCTAAACCTTAACCTAAAGTAAACCCTAACTCTAATCGTAAACATAGTTCTTACATTAGCCTTTGCCCTAACTTTAGCCTTAACCCTAAAACAAAAATAGCCCTAATCTGAGCCCTAACACTAGATTTAATCCTAACCCTAACCCTAACCCTAGTCCTAAACCTAACCCTAACTCTAGCCCTAACCATATCCCTTAACCTAATCCAAAACCTATCCATAAAGCTAACCCGAGTCCTAATCCTAATCCTTAGCCTAACCCTATTTCTATTCCTTAAATAAGCACTCATTCTAGCTTTAATTCTAACACAAAACCTAACCATAACCTTCAACATTATTCTGACACTAACATTAATTATAGGTCTAAACCTGAACCTAACACTAAGCCGACCCTGAAACCAGCCTTATAGTAACAATATACCTAAACCTCACCCTAACACTAGACCTAAATGCAAACCAAATCCTAAATCTAGTAATAACTCTAGCCCTAGACCTAAACAAAACTTAGTCCTAGCTCTAACAATAACCCTTAACCTAAAACAAACACTAACCCTACCCCTAAACCTAAACATGTCCTATTTCTGGCTTTCACCCTAACCTAACACTAACCTGAACACTGACCTTGCCTTTAACAGTAAACCTATCTCTAAACCTGAGCCTAACCAACATCTAAACCTAACACTAGACCTAGCCATAACTCTAACCCTAATACTAGCCCTCATCATAACCCTAGCTCTTATATTACCCATAACACTAACCCTAGGCCTAAACCTAACACAAAACCTAGATCTTATCCTAGGCCTTATCCTAGCCTTAGGCGTAACCCTAACACAAACCGTACCCCTAAACGTACCCTAACCTTCACCTTACTCCTAACCCTGGCCCAAAACCTAAACCTTACCCTAAATATAAAACTACACATATCGCTAAATCTAACCCAAAACCTAGCCCTAATAATAACCTTAAATCTAGCACTAAACCTAAGTCTAAAGATACCCATTATCCTAAACATAACCCTAATTCTATTGATAAACCTAGGCCTAACCCTAACCATAAACCTAATCAGAAAATTAATCCAGATCTAACCCTAAAACTCACCCTCACCATAGACCTAACCCCAGCTCAAACCCTAAACCTTATCATAAACCTAACCATAACCATAGCCCTAACCCTAAGCCTAAACCTCAATCTAACTCTAACCATAAACCTAAACCTACATCTAATCGTATCAATTACCCTAACCCTAACACTACCCCTAAAGATGACCATAGACCTAACCCTAACCCTAACCCTAACTGTACTGTAATATTATCCCTAGACCTAAATCTAAACCTGACACTCGCCCTAGCCCTAAACCTAATTCAAAACCCAACTCTTACAATAAACATAAACCTAACCCAAAACCTAAATCTCACCCTAACCCTAACCCTAACTCAAGACTTATTTATAAACATAAACCTAGCCCAAGCTTAGCTCTAACCCTATCCATTATCCTAACCATAACCCTGACCCTAATGCTAACTGTAGAACTATTGCTAACCCTAAACTTTTAAATTACTCTAACCCTAAACTGAACCCTAAATGAAAAACTATCATTACTCTAACCCTGAACCTAAAGCTCATTAGAGCAATAAACCTAAAACCTAACCTCAACAAACTCTAACCCTGAACTTTACCCTAATAATTCCCCTAGCTCTAAACCTGACCCTTAATCTAAACCTAACCATTACTCTAGACCTAGCCATAAAACATTCTAAATTTATCCCCAACTGTAACCTTAGACCTGACATTAGCACTAGCACTAATCCTTATGCTAACCCTAACACAAACCCCAGGGCTTAATTTAGCCCTAAACCTAGCCTTAATCCTAAACCTAACCATAGCCTTAGGCCTAACCCTAACACTAACACTAACCCTAACCCTAGCCCTAAACCTAGCCCTAATCTTACACCTAATTTTCTCCTATCCCTTACCTTAGCCCTAACCCTAGCCCTAAAACTTACTCTAACTCTCACCCTTGACCCATTCCTAGTTCTAAACCTATACCTTAATGGAACAATAATCCTAGAACTAACCCTAGCCCTATCCTTAGTCCTAGCCCTAACCTAGATCTAACTCTAACTCTAAATCTAACTTTAAACCTAAGAATAAACCTAAACCTATCTCTAGCCCTAACCTTAATGCTAATCCTAAAACTAGCCCTAATCCTAGCCCTAGCCCTAAAACCAATCCCAGACATAGGCCTAAACCTAACCCTTAACCTAAACCAAACCCTAAGCCTAACCCTAAACTTAGCCATAATTCGAGTTTCAAGCTGAACCAAAAACTATCCCTGACCCTGAATCCGACCATAACACTAACCCTACCTCTAAAGATCACCCTAACCCTAAAACTAAACCTAACACTAGACCTAGGCACAACCCTAAACCTAATTTTAGCCTTAAATGTAACCCTGGTACTTATATTAGCTGTAACCCTAACCCTAGCAATAACTTAACACAAAACCCAGACCTTATTCAAGATCTAAACCAAGCTTTAACCCTAAAACTAACACTAACCCTAATCCTAATCATAACCATAACCCTAGCCCTAACCCTAGTTCTATCCCTATCTATTGCCACAAGTATAACCCTATCACTAATGCTAATCCTAGGCCTAAACCTAAACCTATACCTAATCCTAACCCTATCCATTACCCTAAACCAAACCTAAACCCTAAACCTCACCCTATCATTACCCTAACCCAAAACTTCATGTTAATTCAAGCCCTAAATTTAAACTGCAGCCTATCCTAAACACAAACAATGGCCCTGACCTTAATAATACCCCTAGCTCTTAACCTGACCTAAAACTAAACAGAACCCTTACACTACCTGTATCTATAAACCTAACCCTAATTTTATCTTTAACCATAACCCTAGACCTGATATTAGTCCTAGCCCTAAACCTAGCCCTACACTAAAACAAATCCTAAAAATATCCTAGTCCTAAAACCACCCTTATCATAACCCTAACACTAACCATTGGCCTAATGCTAATTCTAACACTCACCCAACCTCTAAACCTAGTTATAATGCCAATTCTTACCGTAAACCTAATGCTAGGCCTAAGCTGAACAATAACCCTAGCCCAAACTTTCACACTAGACCTATACCTAGACCTAATCCTATCCATTACCATAGCACTAACCCTAGGTCTAACTGTATCCATAAACCTTGCCCAGTTCTTATTACTAGCCTTTCCCTAGATCTATCCCTAACTGTAAATCTAACACTAAACCTAAGCCTAAGCCTAACATAAATACTAGCCCTAACCCTAACACTACTCATAAAACTAGCCCTCACCCTGACCCTAGAAGTAAATCAAAAGCAAGCAATATCCCTAATACTAAACCTTAACTTTAACCAAATCCTAATACTACACCTAGACCTAACTTTAGCTCTAATTCAAGTCCTAACCTTAACCTGAATACTAACCCTGATTCTGACTCATATCCTAACAGTCACCCTAGCT